CAAAAAATGAGACAAAGAACTTACAAATCAACCATTAAGAAGGAAAGGATCTATAAAAGCAAGAGTAAACCAAGAATTCCTTGGGAGAGAAATTTGCAGTAACTTAATGACCACAACCTCAATAATCTTGGAACTCTTGTCAAAGGCCAACAAGCCTCCATTATGTATCTTCAAGCAAGAGTGCTTCTAAACCTTCCTGACTGTTGTTGTATACAAAACCAATGCAGGAGCATAGGTCATATTGGTCATGGGGTTTGCATCATAAGTGAGGTGATTTAGCCATAGCTTCAATTGCAAGATTGGGCAGAACAACCAGAAAACCCAAGATTTTGTACACACTCCATTTCAGATGATATAATACTATTTCCTGACTTGCAAATTGTTTTAGGATTCAGTTACAAAAACTTATCTAGAACAAGTATAGAAATTTACATCTTTTTAACCTAATGGTGACGGGGGAAGAAAACGAAGAAAAAAAAACTCTACGTTCTGGCAAACAATGGCGGCACGCCGGCTTTGAGCGCGTGAGTTCAGTACATCAGCCCGAATCACTGGCTTGCCGCCGCCGTGTACAGCCGCACGGCAGCTTTCAAGCAGTTTGTTTTCACGCCTATCGGCGTCACCCATCGTGAAGGGGTTAATAGTAGTATGTAAAGGTCAGGTTTAGTGACTAAGAATGTAGGAACAGGTAATACTTGCAGGAGGGGAAAAGGCTACTTTTGCCTTACTACTTAGTGGATATGCATACCTTACAATATGGTATACAAAGTTAGATTTTGATTTAGCACTTTTAGAGTAGGGAAGGCTTGTGAGCTAATATCAGAGGATAAAGAACATCAAAACTTTTCAGTCAAGCAAAAAATGTACAATATAGGGGAGTTTGTGTGGCAACTGCTAGTTTCCATTAAGGTTAGCACAGGCTTATTCTTTTATATTTTCTTTTTATGGATAAAAGCCTAGAAGGCTTAAAAGGGACTCTTTGAATGTCTAAAATAAATGTAGATGATTTGCTTGGAAGTTTTTATGAATGTCATTTGAAGCTGAAAAGTTCTGCTTCTGTTTATTGATATTTGTTCAGTGGGTATTTACAATTATCTGATGTTTGAAAAAAATACTTGGAGAATTATTTATTGTCCTAAACATACAAGAGTTCTATATCACAGAAAAGTTCGAGAACTGTTCACAAGTTTGCTCTCCTGAACAGTGTTGCGATGAATATTGTTGACCTCATCATCCAAGGTATCTTTTAGGATACAAAGCTGGAGTTTCATTTAGACTGGTGTAGGGGACAGTATTAAGTTTTTAAAGAGTAAATTGCTTGATTGGCACTTTGTACCACCACAAGCATTTAATATTTCTAAACATAAGTGATCAAATCATAAGATGGAGAGAATGATACCCCGTTTGTCTTGCAACTTACTTATCTTTTTGCCCTCCAGACAGGTAACCACTTCAAAACACCATCATGCAGAACGACGCTGGTGAATACGTTGACCTGTACGTGCCCCGCAAGTGCTCGGCATCCAACCGCATCATCTATGCCAAGGACCATGCCTCCATCCAGATCAACTTTGCCGAGGTGAGCCCAAAAGCATGGACAGATTATCTTTTTTTGGGGATAGGTGATTATTTGGCCAAGTAGACACTTTTAAGAGCAAATTAGATTCCCAAGCCCAATTGTCTCGAGAATATTGACGTTTTTCTTATTTTTCTTCCAGGTTGATGAAACCACTGGCCGCATGACTGGACAGTACAAGACCTATGCCATCTGCGGAGACATCAGGAAGATGGTGGGTTTAGCAATAGACAAAGTCCATATGTTGACTTTTGAGAGTATATGAATTATAGTTCTGATATTTGTATAGTATGGTCATGTTTCATTAGAAATGGCCCCTTATCCTTATAAAATTACCAATCTCTTAATAAAAGATAGATATTATATCTGTTCTTTTTGACTGCTACAAAAGTTTGTAGAAAATGGAAAGAAATTAACAAATTTAGAACTTCAGATTACATATATATTTCTTTTTCAAATTTTACAAACGTCATTGATAGAACCATGAAAAAAAAAGAGTATAACAGTTCTGAATATCTTTCTTATAGGGTGAATCTGATGACTGTCTTGCTCGCTTGGCTAAGAAGGATGGCATCTTACCTAAGTAAGTACAAGGCTTGTTTTGTCATACTAAAGAAGGCAGGAAACCAGAGCAGAATAGTAATGTTACTGGGTCCTTTAAATACCCTTGTCTAATAGTTGAAATTGGTTTCAGTAAAATCTGTCATTTGATTTATGAAGATATTGTATATATAACAGTAAACTATTGATTGATCTTTATTTATTGCATATTGTTTCCTATTTTTAATAGTGATGTGCTTTTTTGTTTCAGGAACTATTGAGGATAATAAAGTAAAGTAAAGAGTTTACTGAATTTTATTTGAACCCTTTTGTGCAGAATATCAGTGAAAGATCATTTGGACATTGAATTCAGAAATTCCAAAG